GAAAAAAAAAGAAAAATATATTCAAATTGAAGTGCGAGAGTGTAATTTCTGGCCATCTAGAGATATCCTAATCATAAATTTTCTTTCCTCAGCCCCAACCATGGTGGGGCTGAGGTGGGTGGTTCCTCGGTCTGTGAAATTCCCTCCCTGGTTCACCTCTCTTTCGAATTCCTGGATCTGCCACTGTTGATTTATTATATAATTATTTTTGCGCTTATTTATAATTCAATTTTCACTTTATCCTCTCAAACATTCCTAAGAACGTTCAGAGTGCGCTAATTCACAGGGGGATTTGACTCCACCGGGGTCATACGTAATTCACATAACGGCTCCCCCCCCCCTTTCAAAATCCTGGCTACGTCCCTGCCTCAAGAAGCTCTATATGGTGATTTGGCTGGGCCCCATTGTCAAGAATGCATGAAATTTCTAAAATGAAATTCCTCCATCGTGTATATATATATTTAGGTATATTTATTTCAAAAAAGATTCGCACATACAAAACAGTCTATTGCAGCATAAGCTGAATTGAGAGACTGAAAAATTATTACAAATATTGGCCATTAAAAATTTACGAATCATTATTAAAATAGAGCAATATTAAACATTAAAATTTACATTAATACCTTAAAAAAAAAAAAAAAAAAAAAACCACAATCAATCAATCTACAGGAGTCATGCATGACAAGGCGCCTCTGTGCCAAATGCTCAGACCGAAGAGATCTCTGACCTTAGGTTCCCATTACAAAGTGAATTTAGAATTTTAGTCATATATGGTAATGGGCTATTTATAAATCGTGTTTTGGTACTTTTATATTCTTTATATGGCTTATTAGTGCGTAGTGTCATGGTGTGACATGCATTAATTAAACAATGAGTGGTTGATACACCCTTCTAATTGCCATGTTGTCGACTGTCTAAACTACCAGCTATCTTATCAGTAACAATTTTTGCCACTCTGCCTTCAGCAATTTTTGCTAAGGTTGGTGTTAGAGAGACAGGGCGCAATTTGTCAATGGTAGCCGGGTATTGCTTTGGTACAGGGACGACATTGGCCTTTGTCCACTGAGAGGGAACCTTTGCTTGCGCCAATGAAGCATTGATAATATCTGTAATGGGAATGCTGAGCTCAAAAGCACATTCTCGTAAGATCTTAGGAGGAATGTTATCAGGTCCTTCAGACTTGTTAATATTAATCCTTCTCAAATAATAATACATTTCCCAGAGTTCAAACTGAGGAGGTACCATAGAGCTAGGTAGGTATGCTGGGAGATGATCAATACATATAGGCTCCTGTAGTTGGGAGAAGCTGGCTAAATGAGCATTAATAGCGTTAGCAGCAGCTAAACAATAGGTATAGTTATAGTTGGATCTTTCTTCGTGATGTTGGCCGCTATACGTACCTCTCTATGCCACCTCCAGGGGTCAGACTGACGTAGTGGTCTGACCTTCCTGGCGTTACAATTTTCTTTGGCTTTTCTAATTTCATAAATAATTAAGTTTCTCAGCTTTTTTCTACAGTGTAATAAATATGAATGAAAATCGGTGGCCAAATACCCTACTTCATTGCATGCTTCAACATTTACTAAAAAAGCTTGGGATAGAAGATCAAATTTAAAAATAGGTTAAATGCATTGTTGCTTTAGTAATACATATATTCCTTTTTTATGTTTTAAATTTAATTTATTTTATATACTTTTATAATGCTTTGTATATATGTATAATATATATGTACAGGGTATGTGTGTGTGTGTGTGTGTGTGTATATGTATATATGTGTGTATATGTATGGGTATGTATATATGGGTGTACATATGTATGTATGTATGTATTTATATGTATATGTATGTGTGTATATATGTATATGTGTACTGTATGTATGTATGTATATATATATGTGTGTTTGTGTGTATATGTATGTATATATGTGTATGTATGTGTGTATGTATATATATATATATATATATGTATGTGTGTATATATATATATGTGTATGTGTATGTATATATACACACACATATTTGGGTGGGGTACTGTATGCACGCAATGTGTATTATGTACATTATTTGTGTGGGGAGGGTGAGGGATGTTTATGATTTATTTCCCCAACCCCAACCATTTTGTTTTTTTGGTGGAAAACTTTAAAGTCAGAAATATCTAAAAAGCATAATAGAATATGTTGAATATTTTTTGCAGAAGATGGCAGGGAGACCCGAAATCGAATTCGACATTGAACGTGCAAAGGAAATGTTAAAACTCCAGTTTACCATAGCAGATATAGCGAGGGTTTTTGGAGTGAGTCGTACAACAGTTTACAGACATCTCAACCGTAATGGCCATGAACCTTCTAAGTATACAGATATCACTAATCAAGAACTAGAAATGGTTGTCGATGAAATTAAGAAGTCTCACCCTAATGCAGGCGAGGTAAGTTTACTGTTTAGGCTAAACCTAACAGAGACATAAATCGTGAGGTTGCCAGACTCTTGGACTTTTGAGATACAGCAACAATATTTTTTTCAATTAAAATTAATCAATGTGAGTGTATCGAAAAACAGCTACACGACAAATTTGTTTTAAAGTGATGAATGAAATATAAAATAATTTGTCCGGCTTTTTGAAACAGAAAGTCATTAGGCCCCATAAAAAAATTATTAGTTTATCACCCCCTCCCTCATCACCTTTGGGGAAATTCTGATTTTTTTTTCAATCAAAATATTATTTTTATTTCAAAATGGTCGTTTCTCCCTCTGTTTGCACTTGAAAATCTCATTTCTTGCAAATATGTTTACTGGTAAAAACATATTTTTTTTAAATATAAAGTTGATTCCACTCTTATGACTTTTTATGATAAATGTGACCCTAACCATTGATTTACTTGTGAACATTGCCATTCTTTTTTTTTCTTTATTTATTTAGCAACTAAGTAAACATAGTTGAATTTACAATAAAAAACATCATACAGTATTAATATATATAGAATCAATTCAGAATACAAATTTAAAATGTTTAAAATACGATAAAATTTAAAAAAAAAAAAAAAAAAATCTCAAAGGTTTACAGAACAAAAAAGAAACAGGCAGAAAAAAAAAAAAAAGCTACGCTTGTACTGAGTGGCCAAAACATGCCCATTCGTACAGAACGCGTGTGCACGGTGTCTGTCAGTTGATGAATCACCTAAAGCGAATTCACCAACATTCAACCTAGTTTAACGAACAATATTACTGTTATATTAACATTTTAAGAGGAAATGGAGAAATGCAGAAATACGACCCCCCCTACCCCAACCCCAACCCCAACCATTTTGTTGTTTTGGTGGAAAACTTTAAAGTCAGAAATATCTAAAAGCATAATAGAATATGTTGAATATTTTTTGGCAGAAGATGGCAGGGAGACCTGAAATCGAATTCGACATTGAACGTGCAAAGGAAATGTTAAAACTCCAGTTTACCATAGCAGATATAGCGAGGGTTTTTGGTGTGAGTCGTACAACAGTTTACAGACATCTCAACCGTAATGGCCATGAACCTTCTAAGTATACAGATATCACTAATCAAGAACTAGAAATGATTGTCGATGAAATTAAGAAGTCTCACCCTAATGCAGGCGAGGTAAGTTTACCGTTTAGGCTAAACCTAACAGAGACATAAATCGTGAGGTTGCCAGACAATTGAATGCTTTTGTAAAAAAAAAAATATCGGACAAAAATGGGTTTGTTTTTTTCTTGGACTTTTGAGATACAGCAACAATATTTTTTTCAATTAAAATTAATCAATGTGAGTGTATCGAAAAACAGCTACACGACAAATTTGTTTTAAAGTATGAATGAAATATAAAATAATTTGTCCGGCTTTTTGAAACAGAAAGTCATTAGGCCCCATAAAAAAATTATTAGTTTATCACCCCCTCCCTCATCACTTTTGGGGAAATTCTGATTTTTTTTTCAATCAAAATATTATTTTTATTTCAAAATGGTCGTTTCTCCCTCTGTTTGCACTTGAAAATCTCATTTCTTGCAAATATGTTTACTGGTAAAAACATATTTTTTTTAAATATAAAGTTGATTCCACTCTTATGACTTTTTATGATAAATGTGACCCTAACCACTGATTTACTTGTGAACATGGGTAAAATGAGGGCGGGGATGAAAAATATAGGGTGATAAACTAATAATTTTTTCATGGGGCCTTAGTAAAAAAAAAGTAATGTAAATTCTAATCACTGTTAATTTAAGGTGAATTAATAAAATACTGAATTTGATGGAAAATTGATACTTAAAAGAAAAAAGTACTGTAGGTTCATAAGAAAGTGTAGTTTGGGTTTATTTTTCTGTCAAGAAAGTTGCCCGGAACGGAATTGACCACCCTCGTCAAAAATGGAATTAAAAGTCATATTAAATAGCTGAAAATATACGATATATGATAAATACCAGGTTTTTCCCGCGCCTTGCCCTCTAACCTCAAACCTCCACTGACGCCACCAAATACATAAACAAATAATAATAATAATAATAATAATAATAATACAAATAATAATAATAATAATAATAATAATAATAATACTTATACTAATACTAATAATAATACTAATAGTAATACTAATACTAATAATAATAATACTAATAATAATAATAATAATAATACTAATAATAATAATACTAATACTAATACTAATAATAATAATAATACAGTAATACTAATAATAATACTAATAATACTAACAATAATAATAATAATAATACTAATAATAATAATAATGTTTCTGTCAATATCACATCTAGTTGGCCTGTAAAAATAGCCGGATCGATGGCCTGACCTTATAAATACATTAATGTCAACGTTTATGCCAAATTTCAATGTCTCAATTTTTTTTTTATGTCTGATACAGGCGTATCTCATGGGTCATCTCAGATCAAGAGGTATCAGAATTCAACGTGCACGCCTTCGGAAAGCATTACAAGCTGTCGACCCAACTGGGGTACAGAGAAGAAGATTGAGAACTATAACCAGACAAATTTATTCTGTTCCATGCCCGAACTACCTCTGGCATATAGATGGGACACACAAAATGATTAGGTGGAAGTTTGTCATACATGCCGGCATCGATCGATTTTCCCGATTGATTACTTACCTGCATTGTAGTGACAACAACAATGCTGAAACTGTGTCGAGATTATTTGAGTCGGCGGTTGACCGGTATGGTTTGCCTATACGAGTGAGGTCGGATCATGGTGGTGAAAATCAAGGTGTTTGGGAAAAAATGTTTGCAGAAAGAGGAGAAACAAATAACCCCGTCATTATTGGGTCGTCTGTCCACAATGAACGCGTAGGACGATTAAATTACGATATAAATAATCAAGTAGTTTCTTATTTTAAATGTATTTTTGAAGAATTAGAGCGCGATGGTTTGCTAGACCCCGATAACGCCACTGATTTATTCTGTCTTCATTATGTTTTCCTACCGATAATCAACAAACACCTACACGAGTTTGAAGCGTCTCATAACAACCACAATATCTCCACCGAGGGCAACCGGACACCAATCCAACTGTTTTACAGTAATCAACATTTGATACAACTTCAAGAAAATCAACAACACACCGAATCTATATCAGCAAAGGAGCTACTTAACCTTAATTTAACATATGTAAATGTATATAGTGTCGGATGCCCCTTAACCCGTGAGCAGCTTGATGAGCTTGAACGTGATTATCCTCATGACAGTGATATGGATGCAAAAGAAATGTATAAATCTGTTGCAGATTACGTTTCTGAGCATCTGCACTAAATGTATGAAATACTCTATTGTAATATATTCATATAGAGTACATTTCTCTCATCATTATGTGTCAATTTAGGCATATGTTATTTAATTAGTTATTTGTGTACAGTCTTAATGCTTTTGTAATACGAAACATGTTTATACACTCTGTAATTGGTGTTTATGAATAAATAATTGAATTAAATGGCTATAAATGTACAAATGTCTTCTTTCTTTCTTTGCTTGATTTTATTGTTTTCCATCTCTTTTTATCTTGTATGGAAACGTCTATGTATTTTCTTTGTCAACATTTTATGAAATTCCTTTTTTGAGGATGAATAAATGATTTTAATTTTGAATATTTTTGTGCTTTTTTTTTTTTTTATTGTTTTTTCTTTTTTTTTTTTTTTGTAAACATGCAGTGATTTGTAGTACAATGTGAAAAGATGCTACAGTATTTCCTATTTAATCAATAAAAAAAAATAAATACTGTCTAGCAGTAAATATGGAAATTGCATTATGAAAGAAAGTAATCCAAGCGACAGAAGCTACCGTAACAATTGTTTGTATGGTTTCAGTTACAAACTAATTTTATCCTCGTCATTTAGACAGAAAAAAAATTGATTTCATTTCCAATGAAAATGATGCGTGTTGTCTAAAATAAATACCAAGTACATTGTTCACTGTAGAGGTATACAATCCAAAAAGTTACCAGTATGATATAGAACCTGAAAAAAGCAATTAATGGCATTAGACCTAATAATAGTTGTCATTTCCTATCTTAAAAATATGAGTTCACAATTAATTTATAAACGTCTCTCAACGACCGTTTTGTTTTTGTTTATTTTTTTAGGTTTTAGGAATTAAACACTTTTAATTTAATTTTTAAAGCACTTTCAAACCGGACTACTGCTATGTTAAAAATGAAATGTTAGTCTGATTGTGTGAAATGAATATATACTTTATACACAGATTCCTTTAAAATGTGACATTACTCGACATCATGCGCGACACTAAACCATGGATGGCAAAATGCTTAAAAACCACTGATTGCTTTAAATTACATCTTAATTATTTGACACTTTTCACACCTAGTCAAGTTTTTGTTTATGTAACCCTCAATGTTTTAAAAAATTATAATAGTATACAGTACAACAAACGTAAAAGTATTCCTTATTTATTCATTTACTTGGTCGAGCAAGGAGGTATCGCCTTTGCTTTTAAGAGTTTTGCTTTTAACTTGAATTATATAAATATCAAATTTTAACTAAATGTGAAGCACACATCTATACAATCACTGACATAATATGCAAATAAAAGAGGATAAACTGTAGGCATAGATACAATATTAAAACTGCAATCCAATAAACAAAAAAGGTTTGGAGTAGCTGTAAATTTGTATACATCCATCCTACTGAACATAGGCCTAGTAATAGTACTTGCAAACATGTTTTTAAGGGGTCGCTCCCAAATATGATCTGTATGTTTGTTAAGATGTTGGCATTTTTTAAACGACCCTTAAAGTACAAGCAAAAATTCAAGTTCCTGTACTACAACTATTCAACAATAATAAAAATAAACATAATAAATATTTGTTAATTGTATTATTATATTATGCTTTGTTGACAAAATTTACTTTAGTTGGCGTAGCATACAGTTTTATAATGGCGGTGGTTATTATCGATTCGTATATAAAACGAACACTGCAAACATTTAAAGACTATGAAAACAGTTTACTAGTTTCAAGTTTTCCAGCTGGGTGATCTACGGTACGGTTTAATCATGGAGGTATAAAAATATTTTTATACCTCCATGGTATAATTAAATTCCAAATGGCCTCATTAGTCAGACCATGGGAAAGGTCAGACACATCAAGGAATTTTGCTAAATAAGAAGTGAACACTCAAATGGCCAACGAAAATAGGCATTGGTTTTTTCGTTATATAATATATAATATTTTATATAGTATATAATATTTTATATAATATATAATTTTATATATAATATATAATGTTTTATATAATATATAATTTTTTATATAATATATATTTTTTATATATTATATAAAAAATTATATATTATATAAAATTATATAATATATAATTTTTATATATTGTATAAAAAATTATATATATAATTTTTTTTAAATTACATAAAAATTATATATTATATAAAAAATTATATATTATATAAAATATATATTATATAACATATTATATAAAATATTATATATTATATAAAATATTATATATTATATAAAATATTATATAAATATATAACGTAAAAAACCATGTCATTTTTTGCTAAATAATAAGTGAACAGATGGCGCCTCATAGGATTGTCCACATTCTTTACTGAAAAAAAAAGATATTGTATTTACTTTTATTTATTTAGGCGCACACACACATGCGTCAACTATTTGCCGTAATACAATGATATCCCAATTCAGTTTGTACCAGACAGAGACAATTTAAATTTAAGTTCGAGTGCGAAAATTAAGTCAATACCGCCCCATATCTGTCTTTGCCTGAAAGACTCCGTCACGTCCACCCAGCCAGGTCTTATTTTACCCTAGGAAATGTATTAGACCCTATACAATGGTACAGGTAAGCAAATTTCGTTTGGGCTTTCCCACCCCCATGTCCCACTTGTGATAATTAGTGTCTACTATTTTGAACTTTTATGGTTCCGTCTTCAAATCATTTCACTTTTTTAGAGCCAAGCAGAAAAAAATCAAACCTTTAAAATCGGGATTATAATAATTATTATTGTTCATTATTATTAAGTGCAGTGTTTAATTGCGTTCATTTATAATATTATAAACAGTTTAAAGACCGAACAGGTCTTTAAACAGGTTTTTTGTTTGTTCTGTTGTTCAACACAGTAACCACAATCTGTGAGCTAAAGGTTTATGCGTTTACATTTTTTTTTTTTTTATAAGAACACATTTTAAAGAACACCGGGCTGAAATTGCATAAAGAATAAAAACAAAATAAAAACGAATTGAGGTTGAGGGAAAATGAAAATACTGATTTAATGCCTTTATATAAACGTTTGAAACCAAACAAGGCTAGTGTAGTTTTGACCTACAGTGCGTGAAAAAGATATTTGACGAGCCCTTATACTGTAGTTGTTCTTTGTTGGCCTAGTTCGTTGATGGTCGGTTTTTTAGTTTGTTGTCCAAATGGCAAAATGTCCTTGGCCGGCCAGTGCCTGCTGTGAAACTTGCATGATGAATCTGTCTGTTGATGACCGGTATTAATTTGTTGGGCGGGAATGTGTTTCGCTGGTCGGTGGTGTATGCTAATGGTTGGTTGGTCACTATAACAACTCCCTGGTTGTAGTTTGTTGGATGGATGAAAAATCTTTTTTTTTTTTAGTTTATCTTTAATTTGTTGAGTTTGTCCTTTGTTTGTTAAGATTGTCTGTTGTTTGTTGAGTTTGTCTTTTGTTTGTTGAGTTTGTCCTTTGTTGAGTTTGTGCTTTGTTTGTTGAGTTTGTCCTTTGTTTGTTGAGTTTTCTATTTTGACTCTAATGACCGCCCATAACTGAACTTTTAAAATGAAATCTCCTCTGGACCACTAATCGTATTATTAGTAACACACCGGTGAACTGCAGGTCATTATTACCAGATTTTTCCATAAAAATCGTATGGTTGCAGAAGCGTAATTTTGAATCAGGCGTTTATACCTCCAGGTTTGTACCAAGGGTAACAGCTATTTTTCATACATACACTGCAGGGGTAACTCCCTGGTTGTAGTTTGTTGGATGGATGGTAAAATCTTTTTTTTTTTAGTTTATCTTTAATTTGTTGAGTTTGTCCTTTGTTTGTTAAGATTGTCTGTTGTTTGTTGAGTTTGTCTTTTGTTTGTTGAGTTTGTCCTTTGTTGAGTTTGTGCTTTGTTTGTTGAGTTTGTCCTTTGTTGAATTTTCTATTTTGACTCTAATGACCGCCCATAACTGACCTTCTAAAATTAAATCTCCTCTTGACCACTAATCGTATTATCAGTAACACACCGGTGAACTGCAGGTCATATTTATTACCAGCTTTTTCCATAAACATCGTATGGTTGCAGAAGCGTAATTTTGAATCAGGCGTTTATACCTCCAGGTTTGTACCAAGGGTAACAACTATTTTTCATACTTAGTCACTGGTAGTAACCATCACTTAGTCACTAGTAGCATGGAGAAATATATTTCCTCCATGCTAGTAGTAACCAGCTTTTTACCAAGGGTAACAATTACAGTATTTTCTGTTAGTTACTAATTAGTATGAATCTTGGTATACATCTGTTAAATCGTACGCACCTACTACTACCAGCCAGGGAGTGGCATTAATGGCAGGGAGTATTATAGCCAACAATGCATTATATTGTATAAGAGTACTATATACATTGTATATGATACTGTAATTAGATCTACTCTCTATTCTATTTACAACAAAATTTTGTAAGATTTAAAAGGTGATTCTATAGAAATTAACATGTTTCTATAGAAATATAGATAGAAGTGTTTCTGTGTTTCTTCAGAACGAAAAACATGATTTCTACAGAAATTCGGAGGTGTTCTGTAAAAACATACAATGTGTACATAGACATTTTAAGGTATTTCTATAGAATAAAAAATGATTTTTATAGACTTATTATATAATTATAAATGTATTGTATAATACTGTACTACACTGTAACCAACTTAAGCTTATATCTAATGAGTAATGAAGGAGATTATCAACTCAGTTGCTTTGTAACCTTGGGCCCTTACGATAATTTGCTCTAATAGATACTGGTAATGCCTAAAGAGGCCAAAACCTATACATATATGTATTATTTCATTTTTTTTCCAAATAGCAATAATAAGAAAATAAAATACATAACAATCAACATCATCATCATATTTTCTTTACTGTGCAGAACCTCTTTTGAGTGCAGATACATACACACACACACACACATACCCTCACACACACATTTTTAAAGAGGGTGACCTATCCAGTTCCAGCATAAACTGATCATTAAGGGCCCTCGATATACATACATTAAAATATTAAAATATTGAATATTCAAAAGACAGAAAAAAGTTAAAAAGCCTACAATAAAAACAGTACATTAAAACTAGTTAAAATCAGTCAAAAATAAACAAATTTATCTATTAATAAATTGCTTAATTTTAAGTTTAAAAGAGTAAAAATTTTCAGATACTGTAAGCGAATGTCTTTAGGAATAAGATTAAAATACAGAGACGCTTTATAACTAAAACATTGAATAGAAATTGAATATAGGCATATATACAATTGTTTTGAACCTTTTAAATATTTAAATTGTCATTGTATATTATCCAAGTGCTATTATGGCATCCAGAGGTAAACGGGTGTGAACTCTCATATGCAATATAAGCCTTGGATCGACTTATTTGAAACTTTGAGAACCTAAGCATTAAAGTAACCAGAAGTAAGCTCAGATTAATAGTCCTTTACGTTAAGTTTTGAAGGTTTGGGTTTAAACGTTCATTTATTTTTTATTTTTGTTTTTTTTTTTTCTTTTCCAGATCGATTTAAATTGTGTAGAAAAGCAACGTAGAAAACTCCTCGCCATGTCGCAAAAAAACGGTGTTTGTGAACGTTATGATGATATCGTTGAGAAATGGGGTGGTAAAGACGCTGCAGGGGTCATAGAGATGTATGATGAGTGGGCAGAAACTTATGAAAGGGTATAAATATTTATTTTAAACAATGAATAGATAACACTGCTTGTGGTGAAATTTAAAAAAAGAAAAATACTATTGAATTTTCTAGCCTAGAAGGATCACATAATTTATATACTTCACACGAGACTTGGGTTAAAATACCTGTGTGAAAGGAAAAATATGCACTTTTCTGAATTATATTCATTAAAGTTATTGTCTATTTTTGATTATAACAGAATTGTAATTGCATTACAGTGGATAATTTGAAATTTAATTTACAAACATTGAAAAAATTTTGTTTCAACACATGTGTCAGTATTTCGCCTTTTCGCACCGGCCTGGCCAGGTAATACGAGTTTGTATATTATACATGAGATATTAGTAAGCACGAAGTGTGGTGTGATCCACAGGAAAAGATAAGAAAACATAAAAGGTAATAAAATTAATGATTTGTATTTTATTAGGACGCTTTGGCATCTGAAGTAAAGCATACCGGAAGGGAATTATTGGTAGAAGCACTTCAGAAGATAGTCACTGATAAATCCGTGCGAATTCTAGATTTTGCTGCAGGTACTGGAGTAGTAGGGGAACTTGTAAGTAAATTCGTCAAATAGTTCAATAGGTATTTTAAGTTTACTTCAGTATTATTTCTACTACTATTGGCAGTTTATTGAGTACCTCCTTTGCTCAAAAAATAGGCTCCCAGCGGGAGCGTGTGTCTACTGCCTAATTTTATAGAAACGATGATGTGGAAAATGATTAATGATTGGAGAGTAAGTAATGTAGTAAGGGGTTTTGATATTATACTGTCATATATAATTGCCTATTCATTGTATACACTACCAGTACACCATGGTATTTCCTGTTATTAGATTACAGTGACAGTGATATCCCTATCCTGTTACCAGGACAACTTGTTCTTGTTACCAAAGAGTATAAAATAGAACAAGAGAGCCAACTACGCTCATTGAGAGCGTAAAAAACGAACTAACGCTTGTATGTACTTTTTATTACCCAGTACTCCACCGCGCACGGTCGGTTTGTCTGTTTATCTGTTCTCCACAAGATACAGTACTTTTGTTTTCTACATAGAGATATAATAAGCTATATGGTTTTCTACAAAAGATCTTATAAACACAAGATAGCGTTCTCCCCGATTTACGCGTAACAAATAGAAGCGTCAGTCAAGGTTCAAAAGTTTCCCATTTAGCAAGAGGGCACCATTCGTGCGCTATTACCAAAGAAAAAAGCAATCAGTTTTTGGAAGAGGGCGTCCTATCTGTTGCCATAAATCTGAGGTAAAGTCGCGCGGTGTACTGTATGGTCAGAGCAGTCAAGGGTCAAAAGTTTCCAATTTAGCAAGAGAGCACCATTCATGCCTTATTACAGAATTTGCACTCGTAAATCGGGGAGAACGCTATCTTGTGTTTATAAGATCTTTGTTTTCTACTTACTGAGTTCATAGCGGGCGTACTTCTATCGCGCTGCACAGGCGCTGCACTGGGTAATAAAAAGTGCATACAACCGTCAGTGGGCGTCCTACGCAGACGTGACGTTTTTAAAAACGGGAGTACGCTCCCTTGTTCTATTTATACCCTTTGATGTTACCATACATAAGATAACCACCTCATTAGTATCTTAAACCAGCAAAAGACTTAAGACTTGCATTATCTACTTGAACCTCAATATTAACATTAAGCCCAGATTAATCAGTTCATCCTAAACCTAAATCATAATTTAATAGTTTAATTTTTAAATCAATATATTTTTACTGTTGTGTATCTTTACCCATATAGTATTTTGAATTTATATATAAATGTTGT